AAACTGCCGTCTACATTGAAAACATTGTAGTTAAAAAGCAGATTTGTAAGACATTTTAGATGTAACACACAGGATCAGTTTTCTAGGGGTTCTATTAAGAGTAGAAATGACCCACTGATTTTTTTTTTTTTTTATTATTATTATGATTTTTATGTATTTATTTTTTTTCCAGTAGCTAACAACAGTTTTCAGTGTTTAATAATTTTCAGATAAAGTGTTTATGAAAATCCAAACCACAGCACTAGAACGACAAGAGTAAATAATATTGAACAGTCTGAACACACAACACAAATCAGATATTTTGAGTTGGTCTGAGCTCCTTCTGAAAGCGTGTGTTATTCCAGTGGTCAGAGCAGCAGATGAAGTTCAAGTTAGAGCGGCCCTCGTGTGTTTTGGGTTTGTTGATGTGGACTGTTAGTGGAATGTAAATATTGTGTGTGAGGAAGCAGAGTGTGTGTAACTGATGAGGGCCCAGAATCCTCAGTGTTCAGGTGTGTTCAGGTGTGTTCAGGTGTGGACGTGATACTCATCTGTCCTCAGACCACCTCTGGTTTCAAATCAAATATTTCACATCATCTCATTTAGTATTATCAGTTCCGTATTTTGTGTTCTTTTATTTCTACTACTCTCAAATGTGACTTTCTAATCGACTGTAGACGATTCAGCTTTTCATAATAAAAATAATATTCGGAAAAGTAGTAACATAATTGTAAGTGGTTTGATCTGACTTGAGTCGTGAGGTTTGGGCCTTTTGTGTAGTAGTAGTAGTAGTAGTAGTAGTAGTAGTAGTAGTAGTAGTAGTAGTTTATTTTCTTCAGTCAGTTAACATAATCATACATCATATAACAATGATTTAACAAAAACAAATTATGCAGTTAATGCAAATCAATAAGGAAAGGAAATGTCAATAAATCTTTTAGTGTACACAGACACAATATACCTACACACACACACACACACACCACACACACACTGACCCTGTACATGTTAATATTTATACTTATTGGTTTATAATATACACTTAAATATATAAGTATAATTGGGGGTTACAGTTAATCTGCAGGTTTGATGGGGTAAAATATGATTTATTGTATTTCTCTATATTTCTCTATAATTTTAGTCTTTTTTTTTTAAATGTGTAAATTGTTTTAGAGCCTTTTAAAGTTTCATCGAGACTATTAACACCTCTGATGGAGACACATTGACTTTTTAGGCTGGTCCTCACAAGAGCTTTCTGAGTAGTAGTGTACTTGAGTATTGTTGGTTTCAGACATCACAACATTCTATACACCATTGTTATTTAATACAGATGGGGGTAAGTCAAATGAATTTTGTTTAAATGCAGATTTTTGTTGCCATACGGTGAGTTCTTGTGTCTAGATGCTGATAGAAATGTTCAGGTTCAACGTTTCTGAATTCTCATTTTGGATATTTCATGGTAACGTACAAAGTAAAAAGCTGTTTTTTCTTATTCATTACGTTTTACTTTACCAGAAATATCAGAAAAGTAAATTCCCAAATATGAAACTTGATCGTTTCTGTTATTGACTCGACCCAAGCTCATGCTGTATTACAACAAAAATCTGCAGTTCAACAATATTAATTTGAGCTTTTCCACGTCTGTATTAAATAATATCGCCCTATGGAATGGTGTGACGTCATCTGAAACCCAACAATATTCTAAAACATCTCTAACATCACATGTACCTTTACACACTCTGGAGCTCACACTGTTCTTCTTTATCTTATGAGACGTTAGGATTTTATTTGATCATTATTAGCGACTTTTATTATCACATTTCTACAGAGACACTCACATTCCTATAAAAGTGTGTATGGATTCTAAAATTAGCTGCTTTGTATTTTTAGTTCAGACACCCACACTCTCTCTCACACACACACACATACATACACTCTCACACACACACAGTTGGAGAAAGATGGAGGGAGGAGGGGTCATGTGACCTGAAACTCCATTCACACAGCGCTCTTAAAGAAATATCCACATTCAAGATTTTACTGCAATGTAAAAATAGTCGTCATTGTGATAAATAAATAAATAAATAAATACTAGGATAATAGGCTGTAACTGGGAAAAAAGGATGGAGCTTATAGTGGAAGAAAAATATTTATTGATTATTCTAAATTCACAAATAAACAAAAACGTGATCGCTTAGTATGTAGTAGTAGTAGTAGTAGTAGTAGTAGTTCTAGTCATTGTAGATGGTAAGTTGCTGTTTTTATTTTGATTTCGTCACACAGGATACTCGATAAAGGCCTCATTTTTTTTTCCGTACACGTCTGTGGAAAACCGAATCCTCCCACAGCAGCTCAGTGTGTTTGAAACAGGACACAATACTTCTAGATTTGATTATGTATACAATGTTTTCGAGATCTAGTATTGTGACGTCATTAAGTCTAAAATAATGCTGTATTTGTGAACTTTGCGAAGCCTGTTTGTTGCGTTAACTTATATGGATTTCTGTTTTATATCTGAGCTCAAATTACTTTTTTCGGTCGGGCCACAGCGGGTACAGCGGGCATCACATGGAGCCTAATACCAATATACGATGGGGCGTACACACTGTGCCACAGAGTGCAAGAAACACTACAACATGCATGGTCACGAAAAATATAAAACATAAAATCAGTCGTAAATGATCAATAATATTATGATTTTAGTCTGAGACAAAAAGAGAAAAATAAGTAAAGGTATCCTGGATGTATGGCGTGTTGTGCAGGGGCCCGTAGTAACACACAGAGACACACAGACGGGGCCGGGTTCGGGTTATTTCATCTTTTTAATGTATTTCTCTGAGAAAATATGAAATCAACTGAACAGACAGTACAGACATGTCATAGAGGTGAGCGCTATCCACAAAAAGTGCAAAAAGAAAAGTTACAAAACAAAACGCAGGAAAATGAGCCCCAACCGCACATCCCACAAAGCTCCCACACATTATTATTATTATTTTTATTTTATTTTATTTTCTTTTCTTTTGGGGGCATTTTTTTTCTCATTATATTATTATTATTTTTTTTTATTATAGTGTTTCCGCTCATTTCATAATTTTTAGCCTTAGTGACAAAAATTTACTCAAACATTTTCCAAAAACATTCCAAACTGTGGCCTGGGGCAGAACATGATACCCGTGATATTTTTCAAAATGTAGAAAAAAAAAAAGTAAAATAATTGTGATGCGTTTGAGGACACCGTAAAAGGGCTCTCTCGTTAAAAAAAAATAAATAAATAAATTCTTACGTCACCGAGCGTAATTTCTGATATTTTTGCATAATACTTGAAACGTAAGCACCAGCTCTTTCTGTTTCTTGATTGTCTCAGATTCATGGAGCTTGTAAAAAATAAAAATAGGTTTTGAGGCTACAGGACGCTGATTGTCAGTACAAAAGACTTTTGAAGCCGTTGGAACCATAAACAATTCGAATAAAAACGGAAGTGCAGCATTTTCCCGAGGACCAGTGCGCGTAAAATAAATCAGTGTTCAAGTCTAAATATTTTTGTGAATATAAAAATGCACGAATAATATTAATAGTATTTTTTATTTTTATTTATTTAATTTTTTTTAAGAATTAGCGAATTCTTGATGGTTGGACTTTTCATTTCTAAACAGATGTAGAGTGTGCCTCTTCTCTTCTGTGGCTTTTGTCGCCTCATTTCAGATATGGCCTTATTTTACACGTAAACGAAGAGGGGCGCGTGGGAACCCAATAAACGCGAAATAATCCGAGTGTGTGTGACGTTTTTGCGTCCGCGCGGGTGGAGCTGGTCAGATCGGAGGCCCCACGCGCGCTCTGGTCAATGTTCATTCTCCAACACTAATAAATAAATAAATACAAGGTTGCATAATATATCTGCTGGAAAACCTCCGCTCTCATTTGAATATTTGTGCAATAAAATCTGTGCAGCACCATTCAGAGAAAAGTTACCATAAACATATTTCTGCTCTAGCCTAACGTAAAGACGTCAGAGCGACGTCCAGGCGCACACAGTGAAGGAAGGGCCTCTGCAGCAGCGCATCACAAGGAAAACAACGTCTGTTTTTGGACGTTTTTACGTCTCACAAGAGCCAGTCCGCGTGTGTGCGTACGTGCGTGCGTAACGCTGGGCCAAGAGTGTGGCCTTGTTTGTGGATTTTAAAATACTGCAAAACAAAGCCGCTATACACTGACGCACGAGCGGAAAATACTGTCAGATTTTCGATAGAATTTGAGCGCAGGGCTGTTGGAGCGAGGGATTAACAGGTACAGCTCGGTGAGACTGGCACGTGCGGGCGTCTAGACTCGGGCCACGCGCTCACACACACGCGCGCGCACACACATCAGTGACGGGCTTACGCAGAAAACACACCACACATGCTCCTCGTTGCATAATGCGTATTTTACGCAGTTTCACAAAGTGAAGTTCCCTTTCCAGATGACGTGATCCTCAAACTGTCCCAGTGTGCGGAGACACTGTGCACACGCCTCGAGTGGCACAGCGGGACTCTGTTACTCTCGGTTTGGATTGTCTGTTTGGAGGGAGACGTTTTACGCACGCGGCGCGCGGCTCTGTCCGGGCCGGTCCTGAGAACAGATATGGTCAGAGGCTTTAGTTCTTCACACACCCTGATTGTCTGCGCGTTAAGGCTTCTCCTGTGTCCTCCGTGTGCAGGAGGACGGTCTGTCCGCTGGTGTCGCTGCCTGTCTCACAAGGACCAATAGAATTTCATCACATGTACAATAAATACAAACATAAATAGTCTGAAAGGAAGAATCCGCTTCTGTACAGATATAAATAACTGATGAATATTTTAGACTGAGGCTACCTTTGGCAAGTCTAGTACAGTCCCACAGCCCGCGGTAACGTCATCCCTTTTACAGTAACAATCCAGGCCCTCCGCCGGGCCCCGGGGCCAAAACACGGCCAAAGTTTCACTGGAGTTTGATCATCAGCCCGGTACGTCCCCGTGCGTCAGCGCGCGAGCTCACACTCCGGAGGGTCAGTTTAGGAAGGCGTTGGGGGTGACTCTCTTCTGGTGGGACAGGACCCCGGGGAAACCGGAGGACACCGCGGGGCTGAAGGGCGGCAGAGAGCTGTTCCTCAGAGAGTCCGAGAGCAGAGCCTGCGGGGCCGCGCCGCTGCTCAGGCCGAAGCCCGGGCCGCTCTGCTGGAGGTGGGACGGCGGAGGCGGATGGCCCCCTCCACCCGGAGGTCCCGGGGCACCGGCGTGCCCGCTCCCTGAGACAAAGTATCCCGTCTGTCCCGAAAGCAGCCCCACCGGGGACGTGCTCATGCCGTAAGTGTTCGTTAAACCGAGAGGCAAAGAGCGGCTCAGGTCCCCGTTCCCCAACTGTTCCACTGCGGGAAGCAGCGAGCCGTAGCCCGCAGCCTGGTTAAGGAAGCCGGGTGAGGAGCCGTTGTAGTGCGGGTGATGGTGCAGGGAGAGGAAGGGCGAGAGCTGCCAGTACAAAGGGTTGTTGGGCCGTTCGTTCAGCCCCAGTCCCAGCGGAGCGAAGCGCAGTCCGCGCTTCATGGCCAGTTTACCCCGGGAAGTGGCGGAGCGCCGCCGCAGTTTCCCCGTGGTGCCTCCGATGAACACGTCGTCGCTGCTCGGGTCCAACATCCAGTAATTTCCCTTCCCCGGGTCGTCGTAGTGCCGCGGCACTTTGACGAAGCACTTGTTGAGGCTGAGGTTGTGTCGGATGGAGTTCTGCCAGCCCTGCTTGTGCTCGCGGTAGTACGGGAAGTTCTTCATGATGAACTCGTAGATTCCGTTGAGCGTGAGCCTCTTCTCGGGGCTCTGGCGGATGGCCATCATGATGAGCGCGTTGTAGCTGAACGGAGGTTTGTCATATTTCCCGTTCTTGGCGCCGGTGCCGCTGGGGGGGAGCTCCGGAGCTTTGGCTCCGCCGGTGTCCTCGTCCTCCTCCCCGGGCTCTGGCTCAGTCCGGTCCGGCTCCGCGGCGCTGGCCGCGGGATCTGCCTCTGGAGGCTCGGGGCTCTTGTCAGACTCGCAGCCCGGAGAGGGCTCGCTCCTGCAGGGGAGCAGCAGGCTCTTGATGCTGAAGGACGAGGAGCGGGGCACCACCGGGGACTCCTTAACGTCCTCCATCCCTATGCGCGCGAAGAGAAGCGGAGACGGTGCGCGGGGAGCGGCAGACGCGTTAGAGCAGAGGCTGCATGGCGGAGGAGGAGCTGAGCGCGACACTCCGACCTTTAACGTCTCCAACTCCCAGACCTGTCATTTCTATCTCTCTTTAATCTCCCTCTCTCTCCGGCGGCATTTACGCGCGTGCACGGACCTCATCCTCGTGCGCGTCCATTCACGTGCGCTGAGTGGGTTTGAGCGCGTGCGTGATTGCGCGCGGGGCAATAACAGGCAGCTTCCCGGGCTTTGTTTTCACAACGACAATAACTGTTTGAATCCATGTGGGCAAACACTGCGCGCACACTGCAGGACGTGCGCGCGCGTGTGTGGAGGGAAACTATTGTCCACCAATAAAAATGCTCGAATTGGGCACACACGCTTTACGCACGGACGCACAGCGCTCTGACTAGGACAAGCGCGCCCTCTGTCCGCGGCGCGCGGTACTGCACATACAGCGCGCCGAGGCTCAGAAGAACTGAAGGAAAAGAACGAGCTCTCTAAAGCTCTTTAGTTTTTTATTATACAACAAACACAAAGCACACACCATGTGGACATGTGGACATGTCTGACACGAGGGAAAGGAAAGCTCCAGAACTCTCTGAGTGTGATATAAAAGTGCAGCTCTCACTGAGGAGCACCGTTTCCTCCTGAACAGCAGCATCACATATGCTCTGTTATGTCATAATAACATGTGCTCTCATTGTTTTTAAGTCACATTTTCCCAATATTTCACACCATAAATGAAAAACCAAGTGCACTCTTGATTTCCTGCTAATGACCCACTGACAAACTTCACCTTTTTCAGACACTGACTCAGAATAAGAAGAAACAAATACATGTAGAGTCAATGATTTATTTTTTAACTTGAGGATAGAAAGTTAAAACCACAAACATTACACAAACATCATCCAAAACAAACAGGACGAGCCCTAATCCAGGTCAGATAAGAGTCAGGTTTGTGGAGAGGCAAGCCCGTTCACATCAAGAACATCTCAGGAGTTGTGTTTTGTTTCATTCACACATGTTTATTTACTTTATTATGAGTCTGTCTACAAGCTCAGAATGTTCTGTTCCACCTTGTGATGTCATGTAGTGGTAGATTTAAGGTTAACAGCTGCTTTTAACATCAGTTGAACTTTTCTACTCTTCAGTGGTTTTATATAATCATAAGTTGTTGCTTTTATTTTTGAATATTTCATATGTATGTTTGATCTTTTTGTACAGTTGAGTCTTTGATCCGGGCTGGTGCATAGAGAAGTGACACAGTTTCAGTACGGCGAAAACAACATTAAATCATATTATCCAAATGATTCTAATGAAGATGGAGTGGAGCACCTGTATTACCACATGACATCATAAAAATGCAAAAATGGCATGCACACCCAATCGAATTCCACACACTTTTGCATCACCGTATGCACACATTTCCTCCCACAAATGCTGATGTAAACGTGGAATAAAAAGTGAAGACGTGGTGCCTTTTTTGCGTCTTCTGTTCAGATCGTCATCATATAAACATAGCGTCAAAGTCTAAATGTGCAGGGTTTGTGTGTTAAAATGTGTGAATGAAACAAAACACAACTTCCTGTTTTTGATGAGGAAACAACATTTAAACATAGATCAGAAACAAGTGTAATATGAGCTCTTTAAAGCTGCATTGTGTAACTTTTCTGGTGGAGTGTCGGTCAAATGCACTGCAGATTTCTCTGATCTGACCAAGATTTTAAAACTTATATCAGGTTATTCATGTTGTTTTCAGATTTATTATCTACTTACTAGTTCTGAGATGCTTCATTCTAGTCTAGAGGTCGTTGATTTTAAGAGAACCTGTCAAATTCATCAGATCATTTCACTACTTTTAAGTCATTTTCTGATCGATTTAAGTGTTTATATCTTCAATTTTGGCCAGCTTTTCTCCATGGAGATGTTCTTTTTTTGTCTGGCATGTTCCACAGTATGGCATTAAACCTTTCTGTTTTCATGGAGACCAAGCCAGACCAAGTTACAAGTAAGATCTGTGGAGAGGCGACACCGCTCACACTCAGAAGGTCTGTTTTTCAAGGTATTTTTGAACTATAAAACCACCTGTAATTGAATAAATGTAAGATAGATCTGTTTAATTAAACATTCAAGGCAGCCAGGTCCAAACCAGGACTAAACCAGGTCTAAACCAGAACTAAACAAGGACTAAACCAGGACTAAACCAGGTCTAAACCAGAACTAAACAAGGACTAAACCAGGACTAAACCAGGTCTAAACCAGAACTAAACAAGGACTAAACCAGGACTAAACCAGGTCTAAACCAGAACTAAACAAGGACTAAACCAGGTCTAAACCAGGACTAAACCAGAACTAAACCAGGACTAAACCAGGTTTAAACCAGAACTAAACCAGAACTAAACCAGGTCTAAACCAGGACTAAACCAGGTCTAAACCAGGTTTAAACCAGGTTTAAACCAGAACTAAACTAGGTCTAAACCAGGACTAAACCAGGTTTAAACCAGAACTAAACCAGAACTAAACCAGGTCTAAACCAGGACTAAACCAGGACTAAACCAGGACAATGACGTATCCATGGAAACAAGCAGGTGACCGTCCCTCCACCAGAAAAGTTACACAATACACTTTTAAAGCAAATACGCTGTAATCATTAGAAAGTGGTGTGTAGTGTGTTCTTTATCACAAAATACAGCTCACAGATTTCCTCCCACAAACGCTGATGTAAACGTGGAATAAAAAGTGAAGACGTGGTGCCTTTTTTGCGTCTTCTGTTCAGACCATCATCATATAAACGTAGCGTCAAAGTCTAAATGTGCAGGTTTGTGTGTTAAAATGTGTGAATGAAACAAAACACAACTTCCTGTTTTTGATGAGGAAACAACATTTAAACATAGATCAGAAACAAGTGTAATATGAGCTCTTTAAAGCTGCATTGTGTAACTTTTCTGGTGGAGTGTCGGTCAAATGCACTGCAGATTTCTCTGATCTGACCAAGATTTTAAAACTTATATCAGGTTATTCATCTTTTTTTAATTTTTCTTTTTTCTCATTTTCAGATTTATATTATTGACTTACTAGTTCTGAGATGCTTCATTCTAATCTAGAGGTTGTTTATTTTAAGAGAACTTGTCAAGTAAAATGATCTTGCTGCATGGACAGATCATTTCACTACTTTTAAGTCATTTTCTGATCGATTTAAGTGTTTATATCTTCAATTTTGGCCAGCTTTTCTCCATGGAGATGTTCTTTTTTTGTCTGGAATGTTCCACAGTATGGCATTAAACCTTTCTGTTTTCATGGAGACCAAGCCAGACCAAGTTACAAGTAAGATCTGTGGAGAGGCGACCCCGCTCACACTCAGAAGGTCTGTTTTTCAAGGTATTTTTGAACTATAAAACCACCTGTAATTGAATAAATGTAAGATAGATCTGTTTAATTACTGTGGAACATTCAAGGCAGCCAGGTCCAAACCAGGACCAAACCAGGTCTAAACCAGGACTAAACCAGGTCTAACCCAGGACTAAACCAGGTCTAAACCAGAACTAAACAAGGACTAAACCAGGACTAAACCAGGTCTAAACCAGGTCTGAACCAGGACTAAACCAGGACTAAACCAGGTCTAAACCAGGACTAAACCAGGTCTAACCCAGGTCTGAACCAGGACTAAACCAGGACTAAACCAGGTCTAAACCAGGACTAAACCAGGACTAAACCAGAACTAAACAAGGACTAAACCAGGACTAAACCAGGTCTAAACCAGAACTAAACAAGGACTAAACCAGGACTAAACCAGGTCTAACCCAGGTCTGAACCAGGACTAAACCAGGACTAAACCAGGTCTAAACCAGGACTAAACCAGGACTAAACCAGAACTAAACAAGGACTAAACCAGGACTAAACCAGGTCTAACCCAGGTCTGAACCAGGACTAAACCAGGACTAAACCAGGTCTAAACCAGGACTAAACCAGGACTAAACCAGAACTAAACAAGGACTAAACCAGGTCTAAACCAGGACTACATCAGGACTAAACCAGGACAATGACGTGTCCATGGAAACAAGCAGGTGACCGTCCCTCCACCAGAAAAGTTACACAATACACGTTTAAATCAAATACACTGTAATCATTAGAAAGTGGTGTGTGGTGTTTTCTTTATCACAAAATACAAAACCCAGAGCAGGTCTGACACACACTCACTGCTCTCACTCTGACCTGAGGCGCCGCTCACTTTTTCCTCTGGCCCCTGGTCCGGCAGCTGCACACGGCCCCAATGTTGCCAAAGCACCGAGCTCTGTGTGTGTGTGTGTGTGTGTGTGTGTGTGTGTGTGTGTGTGTGTGTGTGTGCGACCAAACATGACCCCGGCTGACCCAGACAGGTGCAGCAGAACAGACAGGTGCAACAGACAGGTGCAGGGGAACAGACAGGTGGGAACAGACAGGTGACAGGTGACAGTAGACAGGTGGGGAACAGACAGGTGCAGGGGAACAGACAGGTGCAGGGGAACAGACAGGTGCAGACGAACAGACAGGTGCAGAGGGGAACAGACAGGTGCAGGTGGAACAGACAGGTGCAGGGGAACAGACAGGTGCAGAGGGGAACAGACAGGTGGAACAGACAGGTGAACAGACAGGTGCAGAACAGACAGGTGCAGAGGGGAACAGACAGGTGAACAGAGGAACAGACAGGTGCAGGGGAACAGACAGGTGCAGAGGGAACAGACAGGTGCAGAGGGGAACAGACAGGTGCAGAGGAACAGACAGGTGCAGAGGGGAACAGACAGGTGGGAACAGACAGGTGGAACAGACAGGTGGACAGGTGCAGAGGAACAGACAGGTGCAGAGGGGAACAGACAGGTGCAGAGGAACAGACAGGTGCAGAGGAACAGACAGGTGGACAGGTGACGGAACAGACAGTGCAGGGGAACAGACAGGTGAACAGACAGGTCAGACAGGTGCAGAACAGA